CATTTGTTAGAGCATTCCAGAGCAGAGAGAGCAGAGATTTGAGTTCTTTTCTTGCAACGCCTTGAAATTAAGCTTCGACTTGATTTTAAGAAGAACGACTATCTTACTTCGATAAGATATCGTTTCAATTTCTACTTCGATAACGAAGTTAGAATCATAAGCCCCCTCTTCACGATCTGTGAATCGGCGGTCCACGAACCAAAGCGTTCCCGGCACAGGCAAAGTCCCACGAAAACGAGAATTGATAGACGATTTTCGTGTTTGTTTCTCAAGAGTTGTAATTTTTGTTTTGTTGTGTAGAAAAAGTCTTATAAAAAGATTATTCTTTCGAATTTGTTGTAATCGAACAAAGTTATAATGAATTCCACAGCAGCGACTTTTGAACCAAACAAGCTGGCGACCACAGTGGGAGCCAGCGGTCTCGCTGCCGAGACCGCGGTGTCGCAACCGATCAAGATCATCATCAATGAAGAGATCGAATACGAATTCGATCAGGCGAAGTTTGAGGAGTATTTATCATCCTCATCCGCGAAATCTTCCTCGTCTCGCAAATATAGGAAGATTTCGAAAACTTTCAAGTCTGCAATTCCAACGGAGGCCGCAGACAAAGATTCTGGCTCGATCGTTGTTAAGGAATCTCCTTGCAACGTCCCTGCTCAAAACGACTCTACACCAGTTACGGAGTCGTTGATCAATAGCTCACCGGTGCTGACGAAAAGAGCTCGTCAGAGACAGCGTCAGCGCCGTGCTCGACAATTGGCTAAGGCCATGCAACAAACCGACGGGGTCCATTACTATGCGGACCTAGAGTCGAGGAAACAGAAAGCGGTTCAATTGCCCCAACGGCAAAATAATTGTATTTCTGCAAAACTTACGACGGAGGAGTGGACTCTCGTCAAAAGGGCCCGTTCAACCCTCAAGGAACGGATACAGAGGCGTAAGGCGAAGGCTGCCCAAACTCGCGCTCTTCGTCAACAAGCGCAAGGAACCAAGAAAGAGACAGTGTCTGAAAAGTCACCGAAGAATCGTAAAGTCTGGATGCCAAAGACGCCGCAAGCATCTGTTCCGGGCCCATCTACTGCGTCGTCGGTGAAACCCTGGGTTAGCCCAGATTTGTCTAAGTTTAAAGTGACAATGGCAGATCGCCTCGGTCCTTCGGTTGACGATCGAGGCAAAGCCCCAGTTAAACAACCATCAGATGCTGCAAATAAACCCATAGTGGTTTCATATGCAGGGGGTCGTAAACACCCACCTGTCAGAACCTCACAAGTCCAGAACGAGAGAATACCAATTCACTCTCGTTTAGGACCTATGAAAACTCCACTCCCGCAAGGGGGTGGATTCAAAAATTCAACTTTGGATCGCTCAGAGGCGACGACCAGTCGTCCTATGTATGTTAACAAAGTTCAGAGGCAAAGGATAGGTTGCTCGAATCACAATAATGACGAGCTGTACTATCAGAAGAAGAATTTAAGAAAGAGGATTGTCCGAGAGAATGAGTCCCATTGCGCTTGCGAGAGACTCATCAAAGCAGTGCTGACAGAATGCGGATGCTCTAAGAATAATTCAACAAGAGTCTCCGTATTTCAAAGATTGTCCAATGAAGCGTCAAAACCCAAAATGAGACGTTTCAACAAGAAAAAATCTGTAATCCAACGAGATGAATTCCCTGAGGTCACTATCAACATGACCAACAAAGGAAAGAAACAGTTAGTTAACCCCGACCCTGATTTCTCTCCGGGAGGGAGAGTTGAGCAGGGTCTTTCTCAAAGGATGGCGCGATTACAAAGAAGAGCCAACCTACGACGAGATTACAAGAGAATGCACGAGGGGTTATCTTCGGACGAAGAATTATCAGACACTTGTTCTGCTGTCGCTTCTGACGACACCACATCCAGTGTTGGACAAGCCAGAGAATCATTTGCAATTACGCCAGATCAATTGGCTCACATGCTGCAGGAAGCGTTGGCTAAACAACGCGAAGAAATTAGAGCTGAATTCAAAACCGAAATAGAGTTGACCATGCAGCAGATGCGGGATTTGCAGGTTCAGCAACACCAACCGGAATCAAGCCAAAGAGCAGAATCCAGTCGGCGTAATGAAGAGGATGAGACGATATTTGAAGATCCTCCTCCAGATAAAGACAACTCCGGAAGCGATCCGACCAAGTCAGCCACTCAACCTCCACAGATCTATTTGAAGAAAAGCGAGGAAGAGGACAAGAAGATGCACGATCTTGAGAGCAAAGTCAACGCTTTGATGACGGCTCAAGAAGTGAAGAAAACGGGCATCCCATACCCGTACCCGAGGGAGTGGGACCTGATTCCTTATCCCCAGAAATTTAATTTGATTAACTTTACTCCTTTTGATGGCAGGGGTTCACCAACTCAGCACTTGATCTATTTCAAGTCGCATCTCGGCGCAATATCTGGGAACGAAGCCCTGATGGTCCGGTCATTCGTAGGAACCCTTCGCGGGCCTGCCTTCGATTGGTACCGACGCCTTAAGCCTGGGAGTATCACTAGCTGGGCAGACATGGAAGAGTTATTCCTCACCAATTTCTTCGACGACGACACGGAAGTCTCGATCGGCACGTTGTTGGATGAGAAGCAGAAGGATGGGGAATCGGTTGATGTCTTTGTCAAACGATTCCGGGACAAAGCGGTGAACTGCAGAGATCCACTCACTGAGGAATTTATTCTGCAAACATGTCATAATAACCTGTCCTTGGATGTATTAGAAGTGGTGGGGGTTGTTCCCTCTAAAACTTGGAAAGAGATGAAAGTAAGAGGTGAACAAGCTGAACGCTTCCTCAAGAGAAAGAATTTGGAGCGAGGTTTGCCACCAGCCAATAATCAGAATCAGAAACAAAACTTTAATCCTCGGGGCAGAGGAAGAGGGTCTGTAGCCGCTGTGGACGCACACCAAACGTCACAGCAGCCGCCGCAGCAACAACCACAACAATCATCCTTCCAGTTGGCGCCAGGTCAGAATCAACAGCCTCAGAAGCAGTTTAAGAATTCTGAGCTCAGATTCCCAAAGGAATACTCTTTCAAAGATGATGAAGTTCCGGTCATCTTCAAATACTTGTTAGAGAA